TCCGAAATGGACTTAATAACCGGCGACTGCTGCTTTAAGCCCACGGTTAATAGGCCCGCCGCTTATTAAGCCCAATTTGGTCTAGGCCCGAGGTGGGCTTAATAGCCGGCGACTACTGTATTAACCGATTTTGATATCTTTTTGAACTTTCAGTCCCTCAAGTGATTTTTAACCGTAGGATTCGCAGCATAAGTACTTTTCCACTCCTAACTGAATTTCTGGAGCAGATTGTGGACATGCTCATAGTCGTCACACTGTGTTGACGATTAATTTGACCTTAAGCAGTCGGTCAGCGCCGTGAATTCAATGTTACCTTGTCAGCGAAAAACGCCGTTGGCATTTGCAGTTTTTTTTGCGCCAACTAATTTTTGCTAATCCACCAGATGTGTTCAACGCTGATTTCGTTTTAAAGAGTGGTTTTTCAATTTCTAGTTGCGAAACCTATACAAATCAACTGCTCAGTCTACTGAAGCCAGCCGAGCCGAACCGTTCACTCAAAGTTAGCAATCGGTAAGCCAGCTTGCGCGGCAGAGTTAATCCGGTTTATTGATGATTTTTGAAATTGATCATTTGTTCAAAATTTAGTTATAAGTAGACTGTTGCAAACAATAGTTTCAAGTTAATATTTTAGTTGATGGGTATCCGCTTTTACAGAAGTTTTTTTCCGTAAGCAGGAATTCGGTCGGAATACCTCATATACTTCTGTCTACTGTGCCTTGTGGTCAGTTTTTTGGTACTGTTTGACTCTCCCCGCACGTATTCTGTTCTGAGTGTCTTTGACTTTTCTTTGCGAAGTGCCCCTGATCATCCTTTTTAGACGACTGTTCTAACTGTGGTTGTTGTTGTTATTTGCATGCATATAGGCAACCTGGAGGTGATACACTTGAAGTCGGCGGAAAACAATCAGTGTCCCCCTTCTCATCACCACGCTTGAGCAAAATATTTCGGAGAAAAACCGATAGCACCGTCGAGAGCAGTCCCCAGGAGGCGACGAGCGCAAATGACGCGGATCGACACTCACAGACCCTACTTGCCTCCAAAGGTACCTATAGAGTTAGCGCTTAGTACTAAAAAAATAAGGACTTTTGTCTCTCTGCTATTTTGACATTGACGAATACTTAGGAGGCTACCGCATAATATCCGTCCAGTATTTTATTTCAAGCTGAAGTGAAAAGTACGAAAGGCGTTTTTATGACTTTTGGCACTCTTTTGTG